GCCGGCTGGTGCCAGTGCACGTCCGCGGGGCGATGGTGGGGTGTGGCACTGCCACTCCTGTGAGCAGGGATTGCAAAGTCAGGGTCCCTTCACACAGAATCACAGAATGGTTTGGGTTGGAAGGAACCTCAAAGATCATGTAGTTCCAACCCCCCTGCCATGGGCAGAGATGGTTTCCACTAGACCAGGATGGAGGTACCATTGTCAGGGATGAGTCTGTAAATATTTCTGTGTGAGCACTTTGGCTCCAAGACCAAGTCTGGTCCTACTCAAAGCCAAAAAGATCCTCACCTTCTTATCACTCAGAACCCAGACTCACAGCCTGAACTTTGAGATGCCAGCTCCACAGGAGGCTGTGTGGTGTCCAAAGCCATGAACACCACTGACAGCACTGGGAGGAGAACACACACGGTGCTAAATACAGGGATTAGGGTGCCTACAGTTTATAGCAAATGGATGTGTCTTCACACTACTGTTTTAAGAACAGCCTTAGTTATAATTTCATGACTGCTGTCATGGTCATCAGGAAGCTTCACCTTTCTTCCCTGGCTCTTCCTTTGTGGAGGTTGGTAACTTCCCAAGTGCGGCATGGACAAAGTAATACTTGGGGATTATCTGGGATTTCCACCTCAAGGTCACTGAGAAAGGTCATTTATGCCAACCTTAAACTTTGAAGCAAAGGCAGAGAGGTAGAAAAGCTACACAGCAGCACTGGTGGAAACCCTGAATTCCAGGAATTCATCCTCCTGCCTCTGCAAAACCAGAAATTCAACAAAAGCCCTGAGAAGGCTTCCAGCTTCTGCACTATTATTTTCCAAACAGGATATGTTGATTCTTCTCCCAGAAGTAACAATTAAAATGTAATGAGTTTTGCATTTGCCAGCTAATAGGGCTTGATGCACAAACTGGATGTGAAAGAAATGAAGGTGTGAGTTCAGAAGTCAGATCAAGTCCTGTTGGAAAGACTGAACAGAGAAAGAAGAGACAGGTGGCAAGTCAAAAGCTGAAGAAACAGCCAAGCTCCAAGGAAACCTACAGGAAATTCAAGGGTAAATGTAGCAGGACAGATGTGCCTGGGTATCCTGGAAAGAATTTTTCAGTGTATCACGAACGGCAGCACCCAGCAAACCAACCCTTCCTGCCACCTTCCTTTCCAGGAGATGAAAACAAATCCTTAGGAGGGTTATTGTGCCTCAGCAGGAGGATGCCCTCACGTGGCACAGGGTGCTGCATGGCTCACCAGGCACTGCTGCCCCTCTGCTCCTGCACCCCTGGCCCCTCCTGGGAAATGGGCTGAGCTTTTGCAAAGTGTTTGATCATGGAAGTATTACAAAACAGTAAGGCATCGTTCGTTTCTGGAAAGAAAGTCCCCCTTAAATATTTTTCTTTGGAGAAGTTACGGATTTCTACAAAGTATCTCAAATGTGACACCGTAAAGGACTCAAAACGAACAAAAGAATAATTCGAGAGTTGCCTGAGCCACAGCAGAATGCCTCTGATCCCAACTGCTCCTTCAAGCCTGTCTTTCACCAACACTAATACTAACCTTAGTTTTGCTTTCTGCTCCCCCTGGGACCCCAGCTAACAGCGCAACAACTTCCCAACAGATCACGTGCACAAACAAGAATTTGCCTGCAGCAGAAAAGCAGGGATTGAGTACAGTTTTCCAGCCCATGGCACGTGGGTGGCTTCACCCCTGCGTCCAGGTGACCCCTTCCAGGGGTCATCCTTCTGCAGCACATCTGGCTGAGATGCTTTGGTTCCATTCAGGCCTGGCCTTTGACGTGGGCAAAGGCTTTTGCCTTTTCACCCCTCCCGTCCCGAGGCACAGGGAGCTGCCATCACCCACCCCCCAGCCTGACCCCCCCACAGCCCAGCACCTGGGGCAGCTCAGCTCCAAACCTCCCTCCTAAGCCGAGCAAACAGTGCTCCAAGGTTCCCATGACATTGGAAGTGTTTTCCACCCCAGCACTTCATGTGAGATCTCTCCCGGGGCAAAGCCCAGCCCTGCCTTTACTCTTGCTTTAAATATCCCTGCAGAAGGCCACCAGAAAGGAAAAGAACCTTCTAGAAGAAAAGCAACTCTGCTTCGTGTCTCAAGACGTAAATAAGCAAAACCACCACGTGAGGCTTCCCGAAATACAGCGTTTCACATTCAACATCTGCTTTTCCAGCCCTTCAGAGGCACCACTTTCTGTTCCCTGCTCCAGCCCTGGGGCTCCACAGGCACAGAAGAGACTCACAAGCAGCAGCCCAGACACAATGGCATCATTTCAGGACTTAGAGCACACACTTAAAGGCTGTATTTTTCCTAAATGGATTTCTGCATACATTTAATTATTTTGCTGAAACGGAGCCACTGCGAGGGAAGGGATTGTTATTCTAAAAAAATAGTAAAAAAGGGCAGCTACACATCCCTGCAAATTTTCATTAGAAAAACACTCTTGACTTCAAAGGAAGGAAAAAGTAAGATTTTCCTCCAAAAGGCTCTTATCTGCTCTCAGCTCAGCTCCTTTTGCCCCAGTCCTGGTGCAGGCTCGTGGTGACATTCACCCCCACTCTGGGTTTCAGGTGGAAATACTCTGACAACCAAAACCCCCTGGTGCCACAGGGCCTTGTGCTGAGCACCCCAGTGCTGTTTGCCACAAGAAGGCTTATCCTAAATGTGGCCCATCCTAAATGCTGCTCATCCCAAGGCTGCCCCAGGGACTCTGCAGCTGCCCAGATCCTCCCTCAGCAGTTCCTAATTCAGGCTTTGCTTGTTCCCTTCCCTGAGTGCTGCTGTCTGGACTCCTGCAGCTCTGGAGTGGGATGGGATTGGTACATAGGGGATCTCCCAGTCCTCCATCCCACCACAGCCCTTGGCTGGGACATCCCTCAGGTTCCCACACCCAGCTGGGCCCATGGGAGCTCTGTGCCCCTCAGCCAGCACTTCCCCAGGGGAGTTATGTTTCGCCTCAGCACCAGAAACTTCCTTCTTCCTTTCACTTCCACCTTTTGTCACATTAAAAAAAAAAAAATTAAAAATATTTCTTCAGAAAATGCCAAAAATTTTTTGCTGCCATCATCTCAGCACTCCTCATTTCCCCATCTTCCAGCTGCTCTCCTCTCCTCTTACTTCATCCCTGTGCACCCCTTGAAGGCTGAGGCATTAACATGCAACTCCCCAACTGGGAGGACTGCCAGCTTCACTGGATAAGGCTGGATACCTTCATTGGATACCCTCACTTCACAGGATAAAGCTCATGGATGAACATCCATGGGGAAAAACATCCCCAAAGTGTCACTGAATCAAAGTGGGGGATGCAGTCCCTGCTGATCAACTCAAGCAGCTCAACCAGATCCAATCCATCTGGGAATCCCTCCCTGAGCACAGAAGGATGAGAAACCATCTCAGAGCAGGGAAAGGGAGGGAATTATGTAATCTCAAGAGTTTCCACTGACATGAACTATCATCTGGAAACACCAAAAACCAGGGGGGGTTCCAAGCAGAGAGCCTATGGGAAGGCACCCTGGGATGACTTCCCAGGATGTGGGATCCCAGGGAAATTACAAAGTCAACACAGCAGAGACAGCAGCCCTGCACCCACAGCCCAATGGGGAGCTGCTGCTGGCACCCACAGCAGCTCAGAGGGTGGAGCAGCAGCACGAGGAGTAAGGCAAGGAGCAATCCCAGAAAACCAGCCAGAAAAACAATGGGAGAGAGCAAAAAGGGAATTGGTTTGAAAGGATAACACACCTCTATCTATTAGGAATTCCAGAGGGACTCATAAACCCGGTGACCCTGCCTAGCAAAACACAAAGGAGATCATCACCACCAGTCCTAATGCCTGCCCAGAAACCACAGGGTGGAAAGCCAAGGCTGCATTCCCAGGAGATAGAAACTCCTGTCTCAGCAGATGGGACTTCTTGTAGTTATTAAACTCATCTAAGCAAAGTTTCCCCTGCTCCCACCGACTCCAGTAGCTTCATTTTGCCATGAAACAATTAATTGGTCACCAGGCCAGACACCAAGAAAGTACAAGCAAGGGGCACTCACCGAGATGAGGAGCAGATCTACTTTCCACCTTTCCAAGTTGTGAAGGACTTTATATCCCTTAATTACGAAGCTTCAAGGAGGAAAACAAACAAACAAACAAAAAAACCCAAAGCAGAGCAAAAAAAGCCCTTGCTTGTGCTGTAACAGAGCAAGAGGAGAAGCAACTTTCCCTCTCTCTCAGACTTTTGAAGGAAGAGTAATTAATGACCCTAATGACAAAAAGCTGAGCCTCCCCCAGAATCCAGTCCCCTGATAGGACTCATCTGCCTCGGGAATAGGGGGCTCCCAGGGTTCCCCATCACCTCCCCAGCCTTAAACACCAGGACCACATTGTGCCAGAAAAATAATAAAGGAAAATGAGATGGGAAGATGAAGAAGGGAAATAAAAGAAGGGCTTGGTTATTTTTCACACATTTGAGTTGTGCAGATGGCTCCGAGCGTGTGGGATTTCAGTTTGGGCTTTTAATAGAAGGAAAACTATCAGGGTGTTCCTCAGCCAGAGCAGCCAAAACAATCCGGGTATTTTTTGTATTCTGCACTTGATACTCCCTTTCTTGTTTTTTGCCTCATAATCATGAGTTTCACCAAAATAATAACTAACTGGGAGTGGATATAAAGCCCTGGTGGGTGAGTAAGTGCTGTTGGCACCACAGGATGGAGAGCTGAACTCCAGCTGCCAGGGGAAGTGGCTGAGGATGCAGCAGGAGGGATGTGCAGTGGGAGGGTGGCTGCCCTGTGCTCCTGGAATTGTGTGACAGTGACTGCTCATGAAAGCACCACCAGAAAATGATGCCAGGCCGGGATCAGAGGGGAGAAATGCTTTGCCATTCCATCCCAGTAAGTATTCAACCCATTAACACAGACCCAGCCAAATCTGACCCCCCTTCTTCCCCGTGCTCAGGAGAGCAAACGATGCCAAAAGGCAACTCAAACCAACCAAAAAACCAACCAAGCATTGCCATCGCTTCTCATATTTATATTTTTGATTTTATTTTTAATTTTTATTAAAAAACAACCATTATCAAAAACGAACCATTTACTGGAAGGCTTCAGCCAGGGAGAACTCTCATTTCAATCTGGTGAACAAAAGGCAGCACAGTTATTACCCAGAGGCTTAAAAAAAAGGTTTAAAAAAAGAGAATGTTTCAAACCATAGTTTATAGGTATTCAATTTTCTCATTGTCCATAGAGAGGCTTTTGTTAAAAGCCTTCAGTTCAGAATTTCATGGAAGACTTTGGAAACCCAAGGGAACAAGGAAGCACATGCTTATTTAAAAAAAAAAAAATGGGCACCTGCCCTTGGATGTACTTAACAAGCCCAAAACTGGGTATGTTTAAAATTGCAAAGTAGTGAATAGTTTTTATTAAAAAAAAAAAAAAAAAGAACAAAAAACCCCAACAAACCCCCAGAAATTAAAAACCCCAAAAACATTTTCTCAGTCTGGGAACTTTGAAGTCAAAACCAAATAAAAAAACGGTCTTAAAAATATATATACATATATATATGGCTTTCCATTTTTCCTATCCATTTCGCTGGAGACAAAAAATAAACTTAAGGGTGATATTTGGTTTTTGAAAACGATTCTGTCCTTCTCTTTAGGTGTCAGCCACAGCTGGGGGGATGCAGGCCCTGATGTGTGGTTGCTCAGGACGTGGCTCAGACCCCACTCGAGTTCTCCTTCATCCTCGCCAGTAGCCGGGAGTAGACAGGAGCTGCCAAGGGAAGGGGCAAGTTGGGTGGCACAGACACAAAGCATCTCCCTGTCCCCTCCCCTCCCTGCCATGCTTAGGGCAAGACAAGAGAATTAACCTCTTTAAGGGACAGGGACACACAATGGAAATTAGAAACGAGTTGGAGAAGTTGGTTTTTTACCTAGTCGAGGATTCCTCTGAGAAACCTGCATGGAATAAAACAGATAATTAATACAACAGATCTCTGACAGCCATAAGAACAATCAGCATGTCAATATATTTGAGTATTTATAGTCAATTATATATACATATATATATATATATATATATATAAAAATATATATAAATATATATATAAATATATATAAAAATATGCATATATATGTATAAATATACATATACACATACACCTATAATTATATATTAAGTCTATTATATAAAATGTATTCTACTTATAAAAATATATTACATATTCATTTATATTATAACTAATGTAATCTAAAAATATAAATATATAGTTGAATGCATTGTTTATATATTTATATAATATATTAAAGATATTAAATATATTATAAAAATATATTAACTATTATGTCAATATATTGGCTATTATGACTATTGACTGTTATGACTATTATGACTATAATTGACTATTATGTCAATATATTGACTATTATGACTACTGACTGTTTTGACTATTATGACTATAATTGACTATTATGTCAATATATTTATTGACATACTCAATAGTCACCAAAAACTATGGATGAATGACTCTTCATTCTGGAAGCTGACATATATAGCACCATGCCAAGGTTGCCTGCTGCAAACTGAGGCTTCGTGTTGAAAAATGTATTATTTCTTACAGAATTAAATCATGCAAGAAGAGAGGATGGATCATTGCCTGAAATGGCAATTTTAGGCAATTTTGGAAGTCAGCATGTGAATGAGATGTCTTGCAATCTTGCAATCACTGTTGCCCAAGTGTGATTTCAGTGAGAGGGTTTTTTACCTTGGATAACGCAGACGCCTGTTTGAAGATTTCCAGTGCAGGGTCTGCAGGCTCGTCCCCTCTCTCCTGGGGCCTTGAAGCTGAGGGTGGGACATGGAGAGCACTGAAGCACTCGAAGCATTCAGGCTGCTTCCTTCCTCTATTTGCTGGTGGAAACCCCCCAGCAGCCCAACCCTCCTCACCAAACCGGAGCCATTGCCACGTGTCCCCACCCCCTCCCGAAGCAGCTTTGCTGTCACAGGGTGGCTCAGATGTTTCTCACCGTTGTTTGGACCTACCCTGTGGCTGTAAGACAGAGTTCAGGGCATAAATCACCCCGTTCGTGGCCATGATATCGCTCTCTGCCACGGGCTCCTTGTTGATGTGTATCACGTTGTTTTTCTGTTCGGGGAAAGAAAAGATAAAAAAAGAAAAACGAGAAACTTTTGTCATTTTCAATGTCGTTAAAAAAAGCCCTCACTTTGCATTCATTCATTTACCGGATGGCTGAAGGCATTTTCATTCCTCTTGCCAATTAAGGAGGACATAAAAACAAATTACAGCCTGAGCAGTCTGCCCTGGAATGGCTGGCAGGCTTTAGGCTCTCTCAGTGCTCTGGCTGGGAATGCTGTCCCGTGGCAGTAGAGCACATCCACCAGCAACCTGGTGGCAGCAGGCACTGCCACTCGTGCCAAGGGGGATGGCTGTGGAGATGGGATCAGGAGAGGGCAGAGCAGGACTGGACAGGGGAAGAGTCCATCATGCACTTTGACCAACTCAATGCACTTGGAAACACTGTTCCTTCCATTTTTGTCCTGCATTTTCTTATACATGGTTATTTACTTTCTGAAATGTTGTTTTTTTTCCTCAATAGAGGATCCTATGATCTCTTAATGCAGCGCAGAGTTTGTGAAACAAAATTATATATCTAAATAAATCCTGCTGCTTTAAGGGAGCCCATGCAGAGATCATTTTGGTTACACAAAAAGAGATGTGTTAGCTGAACAAGCTATTCATTTCGTTTATTTATGCTTTTTCCCCCATGACTCAGGGTTACATTTATAACAGCTCCTGGAAATCATTTACAATTGGCCTTCTGGGGGGAAAGCTGAAGGAAACCACATTTCATTCTTCCAGCTTGTTGGATTGAACACATGGCAACAGTCCCTCTGCTGCAGCCTGGAAAACTCTGTCTGGTGGGACTGTGAGCACATTTAGGGGAGATTCCCACACAGACACATTCATGGCCCTGCTGAGCTCAGAACCCCATCCCAGGGGACTCACCATGCTGACTTCCAGTTTGTCTCCCTGCATGGATTTGAGCCTCACGAGGGCATTGACGGCGCCGCTCACCAGGATCTCGTCGGCCACGTGGAACTTGAGGATGTTGGCAAGTTCCTTGGCATTACCTGGCGGGGGGGAGGAGAAAACAACATCAGCACTCACTTCCCATATTTCATGTGCTGGAATGGAGTTACGTGGAAAATACCATCCTGAAAACACAAAGAAATCATGTAAAATTTAAAAAAAAAAAAAAAAAACAAAACAAAACCAAACCACCACCCCAAAAAGCCCCCAAAACAAAATAAAAACCAGGCTGGAGCTGCTTAGGACATTGAGGACATTCCTGCCTGGGCAGGTCAGGATCCCAGCAAGTCCAAAATGATGCTCTCCCAGTGTCCCACATCGGTACCTACCAAACCTGCCCAGAACATGGAATTCCTATTTCTTGGGTTTTCATCCCTCATTCTCTCACTGTGCACAGCATGAACCTGCTCCTGCTTTCACTTCCCAAGGAAGTCTGAGATGGCAGGGCAAAGATCCATGTGAAATAAGGAAGCAGATGGTGCACACTGGTATTTGCAAATGTCACCAAGGCCAGTGTCACTTGGCAATAATTCTCATTCCTGGGTAGGAAGGGGAAAAGTGCAGGAGAAATGTAACTACTGGCTCATGGATTGATGCCCTGATCCCCACTCCACTGAGTCTCTACTCATCTAGTCATGCTTTGAAGCAGATTTGAGGAAGATAAGATGCTTCCCCTTCACCATCTACTTTCCAGAAGAGGAACATGTGCCAGCAGCCCTTCTCCTGCTTCTCCTTCAGAGGATGCAGTGTCCCTGACAAGCCCCACTAGTGCAAAAGGTGGCTCCATGTACAAAACCAGAGCAGCTCCCTCAGCTCCCTTTTCCTTCAGTGCTTCCAAAGCTTGTATTTCAGCTTTTTTCCGTGATGGTTTTTAGGGTGGCCACAGTTCACGCTGCACGTCCTCCCCAATGTGATTCACTCCTTCATCAGAGGCATAAGCTAAATATTTGTGTGAGAAAAGAACATCTGAAGTGCCCACATCTGGGAGTTTTCATTCCTGCAGCCTTTTACCAGAGCTGCAAAACACTTCTGAAATATTTATCTATTAAGTGCTAGACTGGATGTGCAGTCTGATATTACAGGTCCCTCATCCCTGCACTTAAAAGGAGAACCAGCTACCGTGGGCAGAAGCTTCCCAAATTATGATGTCAGTGTTTGGTTGGGTTTAATGACCAGAAGACATTACTCTCAAATACCTGACGTTGTTTCCAACCACAGCCAGTTTTGAACATGAACAAAGTAAAAGATTGTGCTGCTTTTCCAGGAGGGCATTATTAAACATTCCCGTGCTGTTTTCCACACCCAGCCTGCACGCCTGTGCTTTTCAGGAGACTGGTCCTAATCTGAACTAGGCTGGAATATTTGTTGTCTTCCCAGGATCAAACTGAACTTCCTGCTTTGTCTATGTATAGATAAAAGGAGAAACAGCCCAAGCCTTTTTGCTACTTAAATGTCATGCAGTGTAACTTGAGGCTGTGTGTGGACCACTGTCTTCTCTTCGCAAAATTTACTTCAGACACCCTGATCCTGCATGGTTGAGAAGAAATTCTCACTTCTCTCAGCCTCGAGAAAAGCAGAGACCTCACTGGTTCCTTTAGAAACACCTGGGAGCTTTCTGGCTTACAGGACCAGCACAGCTAGATTAAAGTCAGAGCGAGTTTGTGACACAAATTACAAACACATCTTCCAAGAACACAGGCAGTATAAACCTCACTTTGAGAATTCAGTGTCACTCTGTGCATCCACAGCTTTTTACTCGTCCAAATCAGTTGTGTAGAAAGCTCACTATTCCAACAGACAGGGTCAAAGAATGAGATCCAGCAGAGGCATTTGGCCATTCCTGCCCATGCCACGCCAGGAGCACAGGGCAGCAGTTCCCCTGAATGCCCTCAGAGTGCTCACCCATGAGTTTGTTGAGCTCCCCCTGGGGCAGGGCTCGGAAAGCTTCGTTGGTCGGAGCGAACACCGTGAAGGTCCCCGGCCTGTTGAGGTTCTCTGTCAGCCCTGCAGACTGGATTGCAGCCACCAAGGTGCTGCAAAACAAACACACAGCAAAGGCTTCACTGCAAACACTCCTCTGGTGCTCTTTGAGCAGCTGCACAAACTGTGCTCTGAGAGAGCCGGGGGGTTACAATGGCAAAATCCTGCTGGGATCCAGCGAATCAATTAATCAAGATGTTGATTAGGTTTAGATTAGGAAATGAGCCTGTGAGGTCCGACCAGAACGTCTGAGAAATGGCAAAGCAACCTGGGGATGCTGACTCCTTGGGGACCAAGTGGTAGTGTGGAGACAGAGAGGTCTGGCCACAGGGGCTCTGATGGGCAGAGATGGATTCAGAGCCAGCTTCTTACTCTGCTAAGGGAACCACACACTCTTGGCTTACAATTCATTGAGGGTTATTTGAAGTTTCACTCCCTATAATTTAGGGAGACCATGGTTTTGGATGCTCTTTCTGTGTTAAAAAACATCTATATCACCATGGCTATAACCCATAACAAACAGAAACTGCTCTGGCAGCTCTTCTTCTCCTAACTAGCACTTGGGAAGAGCAGAAAGGTCACCTGAAGCGATGGTCTGCCTTGAGAACATCCATCACTGAGCCGGTTGGTGGAGTCAGCATTTTGTCCACACTAAACAGGGTCCCAAACCTTCCCCTCTTGTCATGGGCAGCAATGCAGGCATTTTCAATGCAAAGGTTCTGCAGACACAACAGCAGAAAAAACCCCACTTTATTAGCAATTGATTCCAAAGAGGGATTTTTGTGCTTTCCATGACGTTCATTCACACTTTTTATGTGACAGCTGTGAGATCAGAACACCCCTCATCCCTCAGGCACACAGAGCACACACTGGGAGGACTCACATTGCGGTACACAAACACTCTCAGCTCCTTGTCCCCCAGAGTCTGCAGCTTCTGTCCATGATACAGATACTTAGAGGAGAGCTGGTCTTTAACAATGTGGTTTAGAAGCAGGTTTCTCATGTTGCTGTCAATAACTGGGAGTCCATCTGCAGCAAAGAGTGTGGAAAGAACCAGTGATTCACTTAATATTATTATTGAGACACTAAAAACCAATCAAATACAGAGTATTACCCACACCAGTTTTAAACTGTAAAGCTAGATGCCACTGCCTGTGCTTGTGGCATTTGAGAGAGGATTTGCATACTTGTGCACTGAAACTTGGCTGAAGACTGTTTGAAGGAGGCCTGTGGCCCAAGCACTTGGAAGCAAGGGATTTAATCCCTGGCTTACCTTTGAACACATCGTTCACTGGGGCAAGGAGGGTCACTCGCTCACTGCCAGTTAGATGAGAACTGAGACCAGCTTGTCTGAAAAACTCTGTTGACTTGGAAACTTCAGATTCTTGTGCCAACTCAAACAGAGTCTTGGCTGAAAAGAAAAGCAACACGTAGTAACCTTGCATTAAGGGCAATCCACCCATTGCTGTGCCCTCTAAACCCAGCATTTCCTCGGCAGAATAGCCAGAAGAAAGGCAGCAGAAAGAGGGATGCAGAGAGGCACCAGTACCCGAGTCTGGGATCAGCAGCTCGTTGACGAAATGCACGACGCCGTTGGTGGCCAGGACATCCTTGTTGGCAATGATGGGCTTCCCGTTGAGGGTCAGCTCTTCCCCACTGCAGCCCACGTCCAAGGTGGTCCCTTCCAGAGTCTCCATGGTCAGGCCAGCGATGATGGCCTCAGCACACATGGCTGACTTCAGGATGTGATGGTTCAGCAGGTCTGTGGGAGAGGAAAGTGTCTCAGTGAGCTGCAAAAATCAGCTGTGAAAGCACTGCAGCTTTCAGGGATCCTGTTCAGTGGCCAGGGTGTATTGCACAGGGCTCCACTCCATAAAATGCAGTCATTTTAAAATGTGACATTTTTGTTCAGCAGCCCCTGAAGTAAAGTGCCTAAAAAGAGTCATTTTTAAACACCTTTGCCAACTTCAAAAGGCTTCATGTCGGTATTTGACTCATTTGTCAGGGGAAGTTACACTGATTAGATTTTCTTGCATCTTGGTGGGTCAATAGAAATCACCATCACAAAGGAGTGCTAAAAGAAAACTCAGAAAAGGGCCTGCTTCAGCTCCCTCCTCCATATCTGGCTGCCACTCTCTCTGCCATGTCTACACATCTACAACCAGAGAGGTCTGGGCTGCCCAGTTAAAAAAGGTGGAGTTTGTCACATCTGTTTACTGCAGCTGTTGTCAGAGTGCATCAAGGAGCTGCTCAGAGGTCCTTGAGAAGGAATTTAGAAGAACTCAAAACCACTCTTCGGCCTCTCAGTGGACTCAACAAACAAGCACTCACCCCTCAGGGCTTCTGGGTCCCCCAGGATCCTGTTCAGGGTTTCTCGTGGGATCTTCTCAAAGGCTTCATTGGTTGGAGCCAAGAGTGTGTACTGGCCTTCGCTTTCCAGCAGGCTGTTGAGGTCGGATGCAGCCACAGCAGCCTTGGGAGAAACAAGGAGAGAGGGTAAAACACGTTCAGACAGAGCACAAAGGTCAGAGGCTTTGTCCAGGCACATGCTAAGGGCCAGACTTACTGAGTACTTCAAAATTTCGGAGGACTTACAAAAAATCCTGAATAGCTTCTTTCAGCACTTTGGTCTCTTTATAAATTTGACCCAGCCCCATGGTTCTCTCCTGTTCCAGAAATTTGATTACAAGAGTCCTTTTTTTTTTTTGGCAAGACTGAGAGTTAGTTCAAACACCCTGATATGCCTGGAAAGGGTCACAGTAATTCCAGGGAATACTTCAGATCAGAACCCACAGCTGGCTAACTGCAAATCCCCTGCACATTTTGAGTTATTCCTTAACTTGACAAATACCAAGGCAATTAAATTGGTACGCATCAAATTGGGACAGTTAATGTCTCCTAAGGCCAAGACTCCCATACAAGAATGAGGAGACACACTCAGTCTACATCTCTTTTCAGAACAGCCATAGCAGGGTGACAATTATTCCCATAAAATCCTACTTGCACTGATATTAAACACTTCTCTTCCTAAAGCAAAATGAGCAATGTTGGTACAAGGATTTCACCAGCAGCTGTGGGGCCACAGCCTCTGGACACAGGCAAAGCCCTTCAGGACAATTCACCAGTAGTGGGATGACTGAGCACCTTTCAGGAGCCCTGGGGCACATGTGGGTTGACTCACCCGAAGAGTTTCCAGGCTGTCCTCAGTCTCAATGATCTGCTGGATGGTGTTTGTGGTGGTGGCAATGACCTTGTCGATGACATGAACCACCCCGTTGGTGGCATGATGGTCAGCTTTGAGCAGCCTGGCACAGTTCACAGTCACAATCTGCAGGGGGAAAGAGCCACGGGGTGTTATGTGCACTGAAAGGAGAAGGTAAAGCAGCCTCTGCTGCTTTTCCATTTCTGTTTCAAACACAGCGAGTGCTTTAATATTGAATCAGCAAGAGCAGAAATGTGGTTTCCTGAGAAAACACGGAAAGAGCAGGAATGTTCTATCAAGAATGCTTGAAACATTTCATGTTTAAAGAGCTCTGAAAATCATGAGTGGTTTTGTCGACCCTCATTCATCAAGACTAAGAAAATATGCAAGGACCAAGACTTGAGCAAGCAGTTAGAGAGCAGCGTGGGCAACTGCCCTGCAACAGCATCGAGGAAACTATAAACATTCTTTTCAAACTCCTTCAAAATATGTATCTTCAATCAGTAGTTGTCAACCTAAGCATTACAGAGTCCTGGAGGCCCAAGGACGGTGTAGGAGCTCCAAGGCAGCCAAGAAACAAGCCTGCTGTGGACAGGTTTAACACCAGCAATAACTTCTTTGCTGTGCAGTGACCGAGCACTGAACAGGTTGCCCAGAGAGGGTGTGGGGTCTCCCCTCACTGGGGATATTCCAGAACCACAAGGACACAGCCCTGTGCCGTGTGCTCTGGGATGACCCTGCCCCTGTGAATGCCTTACCCCGTTGGGATAGTGGTGAATCTGGATGGGCAGGTTCTGGTACATGGAGTTGAGTGTTGTGCCGTGTTTCAGGTCGTCCGTGAGGACCCGTTTGTCCACCATGTGGTAGCGCAGGGCGTTGAGCAGCTCGATGTTGACGTTGCTGACCAAGGAATCCAGAGTTTCCTGAAAATCAGGAAAATAAACTTTTCAGTCCTGAGTGGTTAGAGAGGGCCAGGAGGTCTGGCTGCACCCAGGGTGCTTCCTAAGTGTGTATGGGGAGGTGCATGAATACTGAGTGATGCATTCAGCCTTACTCCATCTGTGCAAATTAAGAGCTCAACTTTCACAAATCTTTATCTTTTGCATTAAAAGTGCAGCTAACAGCTCTGGCACCCTCCATCTTTGGCAGACAAAAGGATGATGGCAGCTCCAGTGTGGGATCATTGCACTGAAATGAGCAGTAAAGCAACAGGGCCAAGGGCAAATACACAAAAAGACCTTTCCCAGCAGCATCATCCCTGCAAGGGGCTCTGCTGGTGCAGGTTTGGGGTAAGGGCTTAGCAGTGGGGAGAGCCAAATAAAATGTTCCCTCCTTGGGATGTAGCTGTAAAGAGGGAGTTGTGCAGTTGTGACTCCCTTGCTCACAGGGATGCTCCACTGGGATGGGAGCACCAGCAGGACAGCAGTGACCATTTCAGGAATGGAAATATCACAAGACACAGAGTGAGAAAATCAGAATGAATACAAAGGAAATTTATATGTAATTGAGGATGGGACACACTGATGTGGGAGTCACTGAGGCTGTAATTGGGACTGGCTTTTTGAACAGACTGAGAACAACCAGAGTGGCAAAGTAATGGTCAAAATGAAACACTGAAAGGGATGGAAAGCCTTCCATGGCATCCACATCTCTCCAGTGTTGGAATCCTTCAAAAGTAAATCTCTGGAGCTTCTGGACCAGTGCAGTGATACCCATCTTGGAAATGCAGAGTCCTTCCTCTATCAGGACCGTGCCTATTCTGCCAGATGGGGCTGGATCCAGACCCCTACAGAAATGGGTGGCCATTACAGAAAGCCAGGGGAAAGAGGGGAAAGCAGAGGAATTACATCTTACAGCAGACAGTGATGCCCAGGCCTCATTACTGGGAGCAAAAATGGTAAAACTTCCCGGCCCTTCGATTTCTGGCCTCAGGTTGGAGCGGTCAGAGTAGAGCTGTGTGGTGGCAGAACCAACCACCCCCAGGGTCTCGTAGATGTTGGAAAGAGGCAGCGCTGAAAGAAGAGAAAGTTATGTTCCCAAATTCCCAACACATCATTCCTCCCTCTGGCTGAATTCAAGCAGAGCTGCTGGAGAAGTGAAGCACATCAGGGACTGGGATCTGTTCATCAATTAGGTAATAAATAATCACAGCCTGGCAGCTTCACCCTCAGTTCCAGCAGGGTAATCCAGGACTGACTGTATCTCTGCAGATTTGAATGGACTTACCCTGCATTTATACAGATGGGATTTGAGGCAAACAAAGATATTAATTGCTTTCACCCAATCCTTGTTTCCACTCAGGCCTTTGGGATTTGCTGTTGGACACTGCTGGTCCCAGTCTCCACTGGTTAACTGGGCAGCATCCAGCTTTTGTGGAAGGAAGTGTTCAGAAGGCAAAAGCAGAGTATGGCTTTCTTCAATAAACCCAGTTAACTCCCTCCCAACCCCCACCAGTGGCTGAACTTAATTTTCTCCTAAATGCAATTTTGCCAACCCCATGCTTGCCAAAACGTCCAAGGTCAGGTTGGACGGGGCTTGGAGCAACCTGGTCTAGTGGAAGGTGTCCCTGCCCATGGCTGGGGTTTGGAACTAGATTATCTTTAAGGCTTCTTTCCAAACCAAACCGGTGTAAAATTCTATGAAAATAAAAACTAAAAACGAGCTGAGATTGGCAGGGCTGTCTGTTACTCTGTCATTCCTTTGCCTCCCATTTCCAACACAGCTATATCACTTGCTGGAATAAGTAGTTCCCTATGGCCCTCCCATGCTTGATTAAGTTTAATTATATCCAAGGTTCTGAGTTGTCTGGAACATTTAGCAAGCTTTGGAGCTGATCTGGCCCTCGGCCCGTGCTCCGCTGGGTCCATTTTGGGTTTGTTCATGGCAATATTGTGCATAAATTGCAAAAATCAAATCCACTTCGAGCAATTTTCTAATATTTCCCTTTACTAGGCAGCTGTGTAATTTTAAGGAGTCTAAAAAATGTCAAACATATTTTTACCAGCTGGGCAGCCTTTTTCTCCAGGAACTTTTTCATATCCAGGACAGCACTCGTAACTGATGACTCTGGAATAAGAGATGGATACGGCAGATTAACCAACAGTATCTCATTGCTTTTTCTCTATTTGCTGCAGTTCTGGGTCCAGCCATATCTGGAGCTGTTTCCAAGCAGACTCTTCATTAGAAATACAGACTTGAACCAAAGACAAACCGCAGTTTTTATCTCCTTCAGGGCTGCGTGTTGCCAGTTCCTCCACAGAACAAAAGCAGATCCGATTTCTTTTCGAAACCACATTTTCCAGGAGACTTTGTACAAACAGTGGATGGAAAGTGATTCCACAGTGCCAGGAGATAACCTGTGCAAGGCTGCCAGTGCTGGTTCATCTGGGCACGTTTCCCATGGGATTTGGGGATCTCCTCGGCTCACTGCTGCTGTCACATCTCATCACTCTTTGGGCAACTCCAACGTGGCTGCTTGACCAAACCAAGCCTTTCCCCCTCATTTCACCCTGTTCTTGTCCACCACCAGAAATTATTTGCTTACTTATGGCAAAATCCACAGGGCAGACCCGGAGGGAAAGGACAACCCTGGTGTTGGATGCGTGCACTTGGCACAAGGACTTGGGAAAAGCCCTGCAGGGAGAAACTTCACCAGTGGTGGCATCCAAGTGAATCCATGGGCACCTCGGGCACAACTACAGCCACGTCAGTGCCCTCAGGGCAGCATTTCCTTCTGGCTGCCACCAAACTGCTGCCCTGATTAAACACTTTCCCCCAGTAAAACCAAAGGGGTCACAGACACCCTCCTGGGGACTCAAGGCTGTCCCGCAGGCTTGCAGACCCTAAATAAGGAAGGGCTGCCTGAAAACTGCATCCATCATCTGCAGCTCAACGGGAAACAGAAGTCATCTGATTCTCAGAGCTGGTCATTGGAGGGAATGTGGCTTGATATTAGCAGGGAAAAGAAAAAAAAAGAAAAGGAAAAAAAAATCAATCCAGAAGTTGCCAGTTTATTTTTCACAGGGGATTCTTTCACCTATTGCTCCGTGCTCGCTGTGAAAGGAGCAAGGACACCTGATTGATGGGCTGAGAGAGTGAGGGAATAGGTGTTCCTCCCAAAGGCAAGCATTTCCTCTGTGCTCCCTGTTGGATTTGAGGCAAGCAGGATGCTGTATCACCCAGGCTCAGCACACCCGCTCAAAGAGAAAGGAAAATCCTCCAGCTTCAGATATTTGTCATCATTTTAACACTGTTAACAAACAGTGGAAATGCCTGGGGTTTAAGAGGGAATTCTTCAGGGTAATTAAGAGGCAGAAAGTGAAACAAATACCTGCTTTGCTGTGACAGAAGCAAATAAATTCTGTGTCACGGCTTCCTAAGAGAATTACAAAGCAAACCCAGACTGATTGTCTAGACATTATATATTCCATGTGGGAAAGAGCTTGCCTAAAGCAATCCCTTCCTTTGACTACTGGAGATCTTAACACCCTGCTGCTCTGCTTCCCCCAGCCCCCCTGTCTCGTGTTCATTGGAAACACACACTTTCTCCCCCCACCACTTCCCTCCCCTACCTCCAATTTTTCTTTATTTCACCCTAGAAACTAAATCCAGTCTAGACAGTTCCCTTGCTTCAGACCTGTAATTAAAGATGAAGAGCTGATTAAAGAGAAATCGCTCTAAAGTTCGGCATAAATAATTCCCAAGTGCTGACATACGTTTTAAAAGCCTTATTTATAGACCAATTGGAGATTAATGAGCTGCACTGAAGGGGCAGGATGTTGATGCTCACAGCCTGTGGCACACCAGCTCAGGGCTGCCCCAGCCCCCAGGCTCCTGCCAGGAGGGGAGGGCACCGGGAAGGGGTGGAGGGAGTTGGTCTGGTGGAAAATATCCCTGCCCATGGCAGGGGGATGGTGTGTCAGGTCCCTTCCTGCCCAAAGCCTTCTGTGATCCTATGACTGCTTCCCAGTGGGTTTGTGGCATCTCCAGAACGAAGGGAAGCTGATGGCCAGAAGCACCAAGGCAGTAGCAGGGCCAGCTCCACTCACACAGGGGCTCCTTCACATCCCCCCTTCACGTGCCCACTGAAGGGGACCCTCAGCATCACCTCCAGCGTGTCCTGCCACCATCCCCAGCACCAGAAAACTGCTGCAAAGGGCCAGATGACCACAGAGGTGCTCAGCAAAGGGATGGAACCTACAAAGAGCCAGAGGGTTGTAAAACACGGCTTCAGCTCCAGGCATTTGGCCTCCCGTGGCTGGTGGACTCGGTGGAAGCACAGGACCACCCAGCCCACCCAAAGGCATCGCTGGGGTGGGCACAGGGCACCCTCCAGCTGGTGCTGCTGCCACCTCCAGCACCCAGGGAGGAGCAGCACAGCTCTGGCTGAAGGTTACTCTGCCTGACCCTACATCCATAGGGCAGGAAGGCTGCTCTTCTTACCTACCCTTCTCCAGCTGGGTCAGAGCCACACACTGCTGCCCGGGGAGGAGGATTTCTCCTGAACACCCCCCAGCCACTGCCCCACGCAGTGAGTTCTGCACAAAAGCCTTCGGAATTGCCCAGTCCATCCCAGTTTCTGGTGCCTGCTCAATGGCTCCAAACCACTACACTGGGACACAGCGGGTGCCAAGGGTGTGGGTTAATCAGCACTGCCCCCACACAAAGAGCATTTGTCACCCACTCTGACCACGATTTCCTGAGGTCCTCCTTGAGTAACTGCAAGTCAAATCTACAATTTTTCAGCCTCTGGTTTTGAAACACTGCATTTCTGAGCTGTCTATCAGTGTCTGCCTGCAGAAGCAAGCTCCCTGGCTTTTATCAGTCATTGTTTCACTGCTGTTGCATTCTTGGGAGCTGAAATTAAATTTTAAGTGCATTCTTCAAGGTAATAAAAATAAGCTTAGGCATACATTAGTGAATAAAGATCCATTCGTAATAATTTCCTGTAATAAAGCCCATATGGTTTGTTTTTGTAAAAGAAGTGCCAGGGAGTAATTTTTTTTCCTAAAACGAGGAAAGTACATTGGACATGAAAAGGAAAGTTAATTTTAAAGGCAAAAAAAAAAAGAAACTTATTAACGGGTTATTTCTCAAAAAATAATCAAACCCAACATTTATAAGTTGTCTTTTCATTCTCAAGACAAAAAAGTGTGTGGGGACGTGTTCCATTGCAAGCCCAATTCTAGAAGAATGAGCCCAGTGCACAAGGGAGGTAGAAAAATATAAAACAGACAGGCACAGCAATGAGAATATACTCTAAATAAACTGTTTCTTTGAGTTTGGAATCACCAGCAGTGGAAAATTACCTAATTACCAAAACAATCTTGTTTCAGTGCTCGTTAAAATCAAAGCAGTGTCAGACTTCTTGCCAACTGTCTTGTCTCACGTCATCAGCAATGATAAAACCTGTACATAAATCCTCTATCTAATTTCTCCTTAACTGTGTGAGCCAATACTTCAGCAAAGAGGAGAAAAACAAAGTGAAAAATGGAAAAAAAAGGCAGATAAAGAGGTAGGAGTCGTCTTCTTCTGATGCATGAGCTGAAATTTCCAACACTGGAGCTTTGATTCTCAGCAATACCTGGTCTCTCACTGACCTCCCTCCCCACTACCTGTTTGAAACAGTGCTCAGAGAAGGGAAAGAAAAGAAAGCAGACTAGCCAAAACAATCTTCCTAGAGCCAGGTATTTGCACCTGCTGCACACACACAACCTGTGGCACCACCGACCCTCTGAGCGAGCAGGGAGGACAACAGGGAGATCCAATGGGAAGCAGGTGAGATGGGCCAAGTGTCTCCTACCCCAGGACTGCTGTTCTCACAGGTAGGAAAAACCTGTTAGGAGGAGGAGAGAGATGACCACGCTTCTCCAGCTCCATCACCTCCCCAGGGCTGGTGGAGCAGATCCCTCTGGCAACAGGAGGAACCAAGCATGAGCTGGAGGACCAAGCACGAGCTGCTGACTGCAGGTCTCCAGCAAAGGCTGGATCCACCCAGTTATGCTGACAAACATGCCAAATCCTGATTTTTATGGGATTTAAAGGCATGTGGTGTTCTCAGAACCTCTCATGCACCAGCTCAGTCCTACACAATGGGCCGGTTTCGAGGGTTCCTGCTGGGCAGCATTAGCTGTGCCCACCTACTGTGGTGGGTGCTGAGGCACTGAGCATCAGGGCCCTGACACTGGTGCAGGAATTTGAGTGCTGCAGCACAATGCATCATGTCCTTTATAGCCCAAATGACTCCTGATTGCTTCCATACGCCAGGCTCACCACGTCCAGCGGGAGCCATCACCAGCAAACTTGTGTAATCAGAGCTGTCCCAGGGTCCTCTGGAAAATCTGAGTCAAGGCACATGTCTTTTGTTCTGCACCAGCACTGCTAAAGGAAAAAGTAGGGCCCAGGCTCAAGAATGACTGGGAGGAGAGAAGACAAAAACACCCATTGTGGAGGTGATGCAAAGCAAGGAGTAGTGAGCAAATTCCGTGGGTAATGGAAAGATTATCTCATAGGTTAACAGGCAGGTTAATGCTCTGTGTGCTTGTCTCTCAGCGAGGCATCACTGGATCAGACACTTGGGTAAAAGCAGAGAAAAGGAGGTAGAAGAGGTTATCCCATCTCCTCAAATGAAATCATAAAATGCTGCCAGATGCCAGTGGTTACACCTCCTTCTGGAGATAAGTGGGTGAGTTTGTCTCTGCCAAATCCAGCTGCACACTTGGGTTACATGAGATTAGTTTCTCATTTGCTTTAGAGCTGAAGGAATCCGTGGCTGGAGTGCTTTGCCTTTCAGTGCTGAGAGCAGCAAAGCTATCCCACATCCACAGCTGAGCCCTGTTTTCTTTGGAGACATGCTAGGCTACTCTGTTATCAGAAGAGGCAGTGATGATACCACACTGCCATGCCATAATCTTGTCCATTTTCTGTCAAAAAGCACCATTATTCAGCCAAGTTGACAGCCTGAACTCTAAGCACTCAAGTTAAGCCTTCCCAGCTTTGTTGGGTTTGTAGAATCAAGGGGAGGGGGATTTTACAGCATTGCCTCTCTTTTTTGTTCTTTTTTTTCTGCTGTAAAGACAATTGGGCATAAGGAAAACCATGATACATGGTATATCCAGCAATACATTCTCCTGAAGTACAGAATTTTCCTTCTTAGGACAAATTCACAGCAAGTACAGTGAAAGGTCAAAAGCTCTGAACAGTGACAAGTCCTGGTTTGCAGGCACCTGAAATGAATGCCAATGGCCAGGCATCACAGCTAAACTGATGATGGCAACCAAATTCTGCAGTAAAGAATAACAGGTTCCTATGGATCTAATTGCAATTTACAGTGGACCACAACGGAAACACGAGATGATTTTCTGCTGTCTGCTCTTGACTCTGCAGATCCAGGACTAGACCCAGCTCACAGCTCTGATCCCCAAGGCCAGGACTGCTCAGGGCATCTCTGCACCAATCCTGGGTATTGTGGTGGTCCCTGCTGGAGTGTGGGGCCAGCAAATGCTTCTGAAAGCCCAGTTTGGACTATAGCAAGGAAAAAGACTCTCAGCTCCTGCTCTCCAGCCTGGCAGACAGTCAAGCATGCATAGCCTTAATTATCTGCTGACTGCATCTTTCAAAAGAATGTCCCGAGGCTGCTTACACAGATACTTTATGCAACAGCTACTTGAATATTATTGTTTGCAATTTTAGACGTGGAATTGGCCTGCAAGTCTGATTAACTTTCCTGGTGGAGTCATCAGAGAGTGCTGGCTAAAGCTGACTCTTCTTTCCCCTTATTTCTGTTTTCCCTTCCAAAGCAAACAGATGGAGATGAATTTTACGCTCTCTCCAATATCCATCAGCTCTGGGTTGCCTTTTTTTCCTCATTTTTTATTTCTTAAATCTAGGCAGCACTGAGCCTAGCATGGAGAGGGACGGGGCTGAGCACTAGAAAACATCTGGTGCACACTTCATTACAGCACTGAGAGCTATAGAAATATATATAGAAATGCAATTAGAACAAACCATCAGCATTTGTATTTACATGGTACTTTCCACTCTTAACATCAAAGCGTTTCAGGATCCATTGGAGAAAAACATAAATATTTCTTAGGGAGTAGAAAGCTAAAACATGTTTGTTACCACGTGAAACCCACCCCGTGGGCTGTGACATCTACACCAGCTCCTTCCCCCACCCAGCACCCACCTCTCTCTGGGGAGCCCCTGGCTTGGCACCCAGGTACTTACGTTGACTTCCCGCAGATCTTCCTCTGGTACCACTGCTTGCAGTTGGTGAAGTATTTCCTGTTGGTGCCAATCAGCTTCTGCACCGCGCACACATTGGGGCTGCAGGGGAGGACAGAGCACAGGAGGGTCCCGTGAGCCTCCCTCCTCTCAATGCTGACCCCCAACCCGACAGCACCCAAAAACCCTGGGGCTGCAAGGCAGGAAACTTTGAGAGCTGCAAGTCAACTCGATTTGAGCATATAATGACTATCATGAGGTGGAGGAAGCAGGAAAAGAGATCTCTCCTCACTCTGTCACAGCATCTTTTTCTTCAATAAGTGCAAATTCTTGACTTTTTTCCCATGTTCCATCTCTCACCAAAATATAAAGAAAGTAAATTGAAAGTGTTTCCGTGCTGAACAGCTACTTGCAATTTGGGATCCCAGCTAAAACCTGAGCGAGTTATTGCATAACTCAAATCCTTCCAAAAGAAACCATTACTTTAGTGTTTAGGATATAAGAAAACACAGATATTTATCAGCCTACAGACTTGCACCAGAACCAGAATGGGTACTTTTGCTGTGTGATAGACTCAGCAGGCCAAGGATGCTGAGCTGAATGAGGGGAAAATGAGCAGTGCCCTCCCCTGTTTCAACACACCAGGTATGACAGCACAGCTCAAGAGTGGCTGTGTCAGCCCAGGAGGTCCCCAGAGCTCCTGCTGACCCAGAAAAGCTGATGGTTGGTGTTCCACGTGTGACTAACCCTGCTGAGAGCTGACAGCAGCCTTTCAGCTTTCTAAGAAGTGGCATCACTGCGAGCAAAGATGTGGTCAAGCAGGAGCTGGGAGTTTACTTGCTGATGGTTTGGCCAGCACAGCATTTTCCTGCTCTGCCTGGCTCACCATCTCTGTGGTTTGTGGCCAGCAGCCCTGGCCACTGGGCAACACACATCAGAGTGTAAGATGTGATTTATGGATCTGGGTGGCAAGGCCATCAACTCTCTTGGGTGTAGCAAACACCCAAGCAAGCTGAGGATGCTCAGCCCAACCAAGGCTGGGTTCCCCACCATGTTCCCACCAACACCATGTCCCAGTTGGAGCATCAGCACCAAAAGTACGTGCAGCACTGGCTGCCAAGCAGACAAAGGGAAAACAAATAATTAAGCGAAACACATAAATCATCCCTTCAGCCCATCAGAAGCGCTCTGTGCCATCCAGGACAGATTTTCCACTTGCACAAATGAAACTCAGGATGGGGCCTGGAGATGCTCTTGTGGAGGCCTTGTTGATGTGCTCAGGAGAACAGACAGCAGCCTGTCTCACGCTGAGTCTGACCGAGGCGCTGCCCCTTGCCCCCCAAAAATAACAAAAGCAGAGTTTGCAGCCCAAGCACCGAGTCCTCCAGTGGCCAGGCTCGCTTTTCCCGGCATCCCAGCCCGGGCCAGCCTGCCCATCATTAGCATGAATTAACCTGAGGGTCTCCCCTGTGTTGGCTGACTCCAGTGCCAGCCCCTGCGGGAGCCTGGCCTGCCTTCAATGAGCCTTTGTTGGTGCTGCTGCCACGGGTCCTGTGGGGGCAGAGCTGACCCTGCACAGCCCTGGCACCTCCATCCTGCCCCGAGGGCACAGAGAGGGCTGTAGCTGCCCTGGCACCTCCGTCCTGCCCCGAGGGCACAGAGAGGGCCTGTGGGACCTGGGGGGACTCAGCTCATCGTTTCCCTCGTTACTGCTGTACCCAGCAAAGGGAGTTTGTTTCCACATGAAAGCATTTCATTCCCTTCATATAAAGCAGTGGACAAGGAGTAAGAATCTACTGAGAGAAAAAAAAAGTTAGAAATCACAAAGCTAAACTTTCAGCTGGTGCAAACTGGCCCAGGCTCAGCAACTTCCACGCCGGATCATCGCTTAGAGAGACGTCTGTGCTCTGACTCAGCCCACCTTGGCCACCCGGCCCCGCCGAGCCGAAATGTGGTTCCAATTACATGGAAATTCCAAGCCTTGCCTCGATTTCAGCGTCTGGCTGACGGCAGTGGACAATCCCTCTAATATTCATCTTGACAAGCCTGGCTACTGAAGGACTTGTTTGATCACTTCCCCTGTATCCCCGGGAGCAGCCTGCCAAGAAAACCCTTGTGCCTCCAGGACAGCAGTGAACTGCTTTGCTCCCTCCTCCCTGCCTGGGACTGCAGCTCTCTGGGGCTGCTGCTCCCTCCCTGGCTTATGGGGGAAAACTTCTTCCCAGTTTTAACTCAGTGTGGAAAAATCCCCCCTCGGGGCCGTGCTATCAGTGATTCCTGCAGGCAGGCTGTAGTAGCGGCTCCCTGCACTGCATGTTCTGGTGCTTTGCCCAGTCTGGCTTAAAATGAATTTGTCAACACTCTTCCCGCTCCTCGTTGGAGTTCATCACCTCTGCCATGCCGTTCCCAGCCAGCCACGCTGACTCCAGGATAAAACTGCCTATTGTTCCCCTTCAGCCAAAGCCTTTCCCTTGGCAGCAGCAGCTGGGAGCTGCTGGGACAAGGGGCTGCCCCTGGGAAGAGGCTGAGAAGAGCAGGAGTTGGTACAGCCCCAGCTACCTGCAGTGACTGCGGCCATGAACCTCCCCAGCATCCTGGAGTGCCCACAAGGCTGGGTGGGTTTGGGGAGAGCACTCCTACATTTTCACCTTCAAATGCTAAAATTCCTTATATACTTTTCAGCTCCTCTCACTGACTCGAGCTGACTCACTTTTTTAAAAAGTTAATTAAGATGTACAAGTTCTTGCTGCAGAGCCAAGCTCTGCCTCCCAGCTCGCTCTGGGCTCAATAGGGGCATTGATGGTGTGGGGGATGCTCACAGCAAAGGGTGGCAGTCCTGGTTGCACATCCCTCCAGAGCTCCCTCCTGCAAGCAACACAACATGCCTCACATCCAACATGTTTTTGGCTGGTTTTGCGTTGCTGTATCTCCCTGGCACATCATTAATCAACGCTCAAAATTCAGTGTATGTTCAAAAACTAGCTTGGTGTAAATCACTCTCTCCATCAGAATGGGACCAGGGAGTGAAGTGCTGTGGTCAGCTGGGTTTATCTCAGCAACAGATGGAAACCCTGGCACACCAATTCCCCGTGTCTCCCAAAGATCTCCGGCACCAGCGTGGACCTCAGTCACATCTCACCCTGTGCCTCTGTTAATTGTCCAGGGAGGAACACAACAAGCTTCTCTCTGCAGAGATGAGTGCACTGATTTATCCCAGGACTGCCCTAACTCAGCCAACCTGAGCAAACTTTGGCCTCAGGGCTATCAGCAGAACTGGGTATTTACTTAGTTTCAAGTCACGTAGAGATGATGAACAAGACCCACTTTATATGTACATAAATCACTGTAATTCTGGCATTATTGAGCTTTTACAAATAGACATCAGCTCAGAATTTGCCTGTTGGATTGTGTACCTGGTCAGACAAACAAAACCTCCATTGTCATAAATTCTGACCTGGATCCCTGCCAGAGAATGTATCAAATTGCAACATTTAAGTCTTGTTTGGTGGTTTGTTTTTTTTTTTATTTAAAGAATTTCACGACCCTGCTTCCAGCAACCCATTTAAACAGAAGCTTCAGCTCAATCACTGTCACCACGCTGAGAGATGGAAACCAGCTGAAAGATCTGTCATCCTTTCACCCTTCCTAATTCCCAGTAAATTTAAAAACTGGTGGAAACAACTACTAACATTGGGTTAGTTTTCTGCCTATCAATGAAGGCTCAAACTACTTGCTCCATGAAATATTGTGTATCAAGCAAGACAGGTCTACATGCATCTTTCTACAGGTCTTATCTTGTACTATTTATGAGTAAATAAGTGATTATATTTGTCAAGAAGACTTCCAAGACTGACTGGGGGTTCCAGTCAAAGAGTAAGCTGGTGCTGACTCCACAGATGCATAGAAGCAATTTTCTTTCTTTTTCTATAAATTCACGGCAACAAGAATTCCTTCCACAAAACATTTAATGGTGCGAAATCCAGGGATTTTTATAGCCTATTTCCTTAACGGGGGTTGACTGATAAAGAAGCACTGAAGAGTCTGAAGTGACATCTGCGATACTAACAAGCATCGTGATAGAAAAGGGGGAAGTTATCGAAAGGAGGAAAGTTACGGAAAGAAGAAGAAAAAAAAAAGTTACTGGAGGATGAAAGAGGAAGAGAAAGCGATGCGAGAAGCGAGGGACAGAAGCGGCTCCCCCGAGGGACAGAAGCGGTTCCCCCGAGGGACAGAAGCGGTTCCCCGGCTCGGCGCCGCCTCCGCTCCCGCACAAAGACCCCGCGGCGGAGCCGGCACCGAGCGCATCCCCCGCGGCGCGCCCGGGATTTTGGGGGAAAAAAAAAGGTGTTTCCCCCCTTTCCCTCCCCTCGGCTCTCCCCCCGCTTACCCGTGCTGGCGGCCGCGGAGCCGGCTGTGCTGCAGGACCTGCTGGTACGGGGACTTGGCGGCGGCGGCGAGGCCCAGCGCCAGGAGCAGCAGCGGCACCCGCGCCATGGCCGGGCCGGCGGGACGGGACGGGGATGGGATGGGGCAGGACGGCCCGTTAAATGCGGCGGCGGAGCGGGGGCGGGCGCGGGAGCGGCCCCGCGGGGGGAGCGGAGCCGCCCGGCCCGGCCCGGAGGGAGGGGAGGGAGAGAGGGGAGAGGGGCCGCCCCCCGGGGAGGGCATCCATCCGTCTCTCCGTCCGCACACCCGCCCCTCCATCCCTCCGTTTGTGCATCCGTGCCCCGCAGCTCCGCCGCTGCGGGAGCCAGGGGTGTCCTGGATCCCCCCAGGGGTGTCCCGTGTCCCCCCATGGGTGTCCCGTGTCCCCCCAGGGGTGTCCTCTATCCCCCTTCCCAGCCCAAGCTTTTCATCCTCATTTTCTTCTTCATCCTCAATTTCTTCTTCGTCTGGACTTTTTTCCTCCGTCCTCCTCCTAGTCAGGACCCAGAACTCCGGGTGTCCCACCGGTCCCTCCGTGATCCCCCAGCCCGGGGGCTCCGCACAGCCAGCCCAGCCCAGCCCAAGCCCAGTCCAGCCCAGCCCAGCCCAGCCCAGCCCGCAGCCGGGGGGGGGATGTCACCCTGCACTGCTTCCCCGGGCACCCCCAGTGCCTGCTGCTGCCAACCCCCTCCCAGCCGCTCCCAGCACTGCCAGGGGTCACCCCTGGCCAGAGGTTTCTTGTTGCTTTAAAACCAAACAACAAAAGCAGGAGCTCTTAGGCTGAGAGTGTGTTCAGTCTGGAGGAGGGAAGTCTCTGGGGAGACCTTAGATCCCCTTCCAGTACCTGAGGGGGGGGCTTATAAAAAGGAAAGAGAGCAACCTTTTACATGGACTGATAGTGTGAGGACAAAGGAGAACTGTTTTAAACTAAAAGAGATTTATATTGAATATTAGGAAGAAATTCTTCCCTGTGAGGGTGGGGAGGCCCTGGCACAGGTTGCCCAGAGAAGCTGTGGCTGCCCCATCCCTGGAAGTGTCCAAGACCAGCTTGGACGGGGCTTGGAGCAACCTGGGATAGTGGAAGGTGTCCCTGCCATAGAACTGGATGGGCTTTAAGATCCCTTCCAACCCAAACCTTTCTGCAATTCTGTGACTCACCACAGCATCCCAGAGTTTGTAAAGGATTTGCTCTGATTGGACTGACATCAAAGTTGAAGGGCTCTTTCCTCCCTAAATCCTCCTGGGAAGCAGAAGGGGTCCTTTGAGGCCTCTTGCCCTTAGGGACAGACCTCTGCAAATCCCTCCTGCAGCTTTGCAGACTGGGCAGTGGCCAGCAAGGCCAGCTGCTCAGCAAGGGATGGGAATTGAAACATATCCAAGGAGCAGACACTGAGTCAAACAGAAGAAGTCTTTAGCAATAATAAACACTTTGAATTTACAAAGATTCCCCCCCTCACCCGTAAATAAATCTGATCTGTGTAAACAACGTTAATGCTTATTGGATAAAATACACAAAACCATTCCTTGGTCAGGCTTCCTCTCCCCAGGGAGTGTTTCATTACTGCCTCCTTCTAAGTAGGTAAATCATGAAATCTTACCTGCAAAGGCTCATGCCTCCAGCCTAAAAGACAAGAAAAAGAGATTTCACATGTTCCTGAGGAAAATGTAAGGTTTTAAGCCCTCTCAGGTATTGCCTAACCCAAGCCTTTCTCAGCTCCACCTTTGTAAAGTGGAAGCATTTTATGAGCCTCCAATGGTCTGTTTAAAAGGAAGGAGTGATCTACACTCTACCCAGAAAGGGGTGCCTTGGTTCCCTGGCTCTGGGCAAAAATTTAGGGCTGTGAAGCCTGATCTGATGGTTGTGCATTTTTCCAGGCCAGAGTCAGACCCCTTGACCTAACTCCTCCTCCACCAGCTATCAGAATTTTTTTTGCCAGAGGAAGGCTTAAAAAATGGAACAAAAAGAGGAGGGAGATCAAGCAAAGTTACTGCCAACTGCTGAGTCCTCTGAAAGCAGCAACCAGTTCTAATTTGTCTGTGAAGAACAGTGAAGATTCCACATGGTGGTAGGGCCAAGCACCTGGACAGAGGCTCCTGCCTTGTGTCCACGTGCCAGATGCCATTTTGGGAATGGCAAGGTGCCTTTCATTCACACAGCTGGTTTATAGATGTACAAGCTTCTCCCTGGACACCCCCAAGGAGCAAGAACCCCAGATCCTCAAAAGAGCATCTGGGGCTTCCTGTTCTGGGAAGTGCTCACCAGGATCACCACGTTCCCATCATAATCTTCCAAAATGAGGGTTGACGTCCTCGAGACACCAAACCCCGCACTGCGTCCACCAGAAGTTTGTTGACCCCAAAATGCTGGAAATGAACTTGACAGAGTTTTTTCCCAGTGCAGTGTTTCCCTGGAGACTGAGCAAACAGGGAGTGAGGAGGGACATCCAGCTGTGAGGGGTCAGGGCTGAGCATGGGGAGGGATGGGGCAGCCCCACTGCCACCCTGTGCCCAGCACTGGCACGTGTCCTGCATCCCCTGAGTGACACACAGGCAAATTCACTGTTTTTATCTACCACTGCTGCTTTACTTCCTTCCCATCCCATCCCATCCCTCCCGATCCTGCTGCCTCCTTGTTCTTCTCCAGTGCATCCTTATTCATTATTCCTCTCCAGCAGGACTTTCTGTGCTGCCTAAGCCTTCAATTAGCTTCTGCCAATCCGTCTGAGAGCAGTTCAAGTGTTGCAAAGGAATATTCAAATGCACTTGGCTATCAGACTGTGACAAACCTATTTGTGAAGAACCACTGCTTTGGTTTGCACTGGTTTTAACCTCTGCTTCCAGGCGGATGTTTAGTTTGAAATGAAATCCATGGGCAGTGGACTCTGTGCACACTCATACAAATACTCCAAAATCAATCACGTAGAAAATTGCACTTTACACAACCAGACCCTTCTCTGCACACATTTCAGACACAACAGCTGCTCCACCAAAAGGGAGGAATCTCGAGACCCACCCCAAGGCAAACGAAGAGATCTTCAACAATAATAAACATTTATTATTGAAAAAGCTTTTTCCTGTGTAAACAAAACTGAAGGCTGAAATAACTGAATCATTAAGACCATAAATATTTTTCACTTTGCTCTGTGAGCTGCACAGAAAGGCCAGGAGGAGAGCTTCTGGAGAAAAAAAAAAACACTTTTCCAACTCTTCAGTAATAGTTTTAGGGGAAATAATCAACAGCATAGAATTAAAAGTGGGTTCTTTTGTATTTGTCTGGCATATTAAATTTCTACTATCCTCATAGTATAAGCTACAATATATATAAGCTATAATTCCCAAAATAAAAGGTTATAGTGATGCTTGGTAAAACCCACATTCCTGCAACAGGCTGAAAACCCATTTTATTCTGAGCTGTAGCTAATGGTGATTTCAGGTTGGATTTTCTTTCCCTGGAGTAACCTCTGCTCTTGTTTTCACAGACTGAGAAAAACCACTGAAAATGAGCATCTTCACTGTTGTTTTTTTTTCTCAATCTTAGCAGAATTTATTCAGAAGAATAAATAAGTGATCCTTCATTCACTTTACACCCAGGTGTTTATGAAGTGCTCGGCCTTCGGATCGGTGCCGTAGCAGGAGACACAGTCCTGTGTGGGACACACCGGGATTGGAGCAGCTCCAGCACAAATGAGGCTGAAGCAAACAGCAAATGATGCAGATAGATGGAATCAGAGCATCACAGAGCAATATTCCCTGGTGACAGCAGCGCTGACAGCCTGGCCTGGGTTGGCAGCTCAGCAGAGGAGTCAGTTAACTGGTGGGAAATGACTTTAACCATGAGCCCGTCCATGTATTGCTATGAAACACATCCCATCTCATCCCACACACTCACTTTGTTCCCTGCTTTCACTATCTGTTCTAACATCAGTGGAATATATTTCCCTTCTGTGTCTTTTCAGGTCTTTTTGGAACAACTTCTTCACCCCAAATGCTCCCTGCTGGGTCTGCTCTCCCTGTCCCGTGTGTTAACGACGTGGCAGATGCTCCTTCACACCACGCCCTTGCTTTCACACATCAGCCTTGTAAAAGGATCCCGATAAAGATCACATAATCCTCCTCGTTTCCCTTTGCAGACAGCTCCATCTGATGTGTCCAGAGCCTGCTGGAAAAGGAAGAGAACTAATCCCACTTGCCTTCACCACACACGGCGGCGGATTCATGGGATTTATGTTCCAGCTCTGCTCAAAATTGTGTCCAAAAGGCCCTCTATGTGTGTAAAGTGTTATTATTACACACAGCAATATAATCATAAAACAGTAAAATACATATATTGTGCGCAGTAACGTGCAGTAACATAACAGGCCAGGCTCTGAGCAACCTGGTCTAGTGGAAGGTGTCCCCACCCATGACAGGTGGGTTGGGATGAGATTATCCTACCCCAGGTTGCTCCAAGCCCTGTCCAACCTGGCTTTGGACACTTCCAAGGATGGGGCAGCTACAGCTTCTCTGGGCAACCTGTACCAGGGCCTCACCAACCTCACAGGGAAGAATTTCTTCCTAATATCCAATCTAACCCTGCCCTCTGGCAATTTAAAACCATTCCCCCTTGTCCTGTCACTCCAGGCCCTTTTACACTTACCATTTGTTTGGCCTCTCTTTTCTGATTAAATTGGAGTTATCACTGTAGGTCTTGTTAGGTCTGGTGAAATTAATCTACAGTGAGTGATGCTGAAGTGCCTCCCCACAAGCATTTAAGCAGGGTTGCTGCCCTGAGTTATCTCCTGAGCTGGGAAAGGCACCCTCATCCTGTCCTCAGGGGCCTCGGGGAGCGCTGGCCAAAAAGGCAATTACACACAATACTCAGCTTCCTTCTACTATATCACTGTGATGGGAGAAATATGTGCTTTATCTCCTCTCATGTAAACAAAACAATTCTCTTACTTCATCGTATAAGCTTGTAATTATCTCCCCACATTTGATACTTGGGGATAAATCTTTCTAAGAACTCCTCTCCGTTGCTGTTGCTCCCTCGTACGCTGACAGGCACACGCACAAAACAAACCCCCTGCATCTCAGGAGGAGTGCTGTGGGCCAAGCT